CATCTGTAGTACTCGTGCTCCCGAGCCGCGAGAAGCCTCTCTCCCCCGGCCCGCCGCCGCCCGTCCTCCTCACGGTTCGCCATCTTCGACCCTCGCAGCCAGAGCTTCCCATTTCGAAGCCTCAACCCCTGCCATCGCGACCGTGCCTCGGTCTCTCTCCCTCCCTCTTCCCGGCGTTTCTCTCCCTCTCGGAAGCGCGGACCGGAGCGGCGTCGATGTAGCGCTGTCATTGGCTCGTTCTACGCCGCCATATTTACATTTTTATTGAAAGCTACAAGTCTGTGTCGGTGAGTGATGGCAAGGGGATGAACGCGCGCGGCGCCCTCCCCTCGCCCCGCCGGCGCTCCTCGCGTCCCTCTCGGTCGCGCCCTCTCCCCGCGCGCTCCTCTCGCCGACGGGTCCTCCCCGCAAGCCCCGCGGCCGCGACTAGGGGGGTCGAACGAGGATCGGAACGGGCTGGACGAGAGAGACGCGGGAAGAGCGAGCGGCGAGCACGCCGAGAGGCGGCCGCGGGGAGGGTTAGCATTCAATTACCTCGGATTTCCTCGGCAAGAGGCGATTCACCTCCGCGTATATGCCATCTTCGAGGGTGAGATTGCCCCCGGATCCGAACCCGGCACCGCGTTTCCCGAAATATTACGACAATATGTACCCGCGTCCCCGGCCGCCCCTGGCAGCCCCGCGCGACCGCTCCGCTGATTCAGAGCCATCGATTCCCTCTCGCGGAGAGGACGCGTTTGTTGTTACCGACGGTAAGTACGCCGGCCGCGGTCCTTGGACAGTCGATTTTCGATGATCAGCCGAGGAGGGAAGATTCCGGTGCGCGAAATCGGCCGTTCGACGCGTGAACCGTTCAATCCGGTTGCCTCCAATTTCGCGGTTTCCTGGATGTCGTCGCGAATCGATGAGACCTCGAGCGTACTCGTCGAACGTTGGTCTGAGGGCAGTTGGGATTTTGCTTTGCTCGAACGAGAGTAACGTGGAGTTACCTGATCGATTATTAAGCAAACTGTTCGCTGCGCGTTTCTGCACGGAAGAAGCAGTCTTAAGACTCGAGTAATTAAGAAAGGGAGGTTTCATACAGCGAACAAGTAGAACACGCTCGTTGGAAACGCATGAAACGATCGCATCGGTTCGCATCGGGTGGAACCATCGACTCGAATTACTCCAACTAGCCGGCCGACCCTTCGCCGAGTGGTAATTCGGAGTTTAATATTCCGAGTGTTTCGCTGGATAGCCGGAAAAAAAGTATAGTACAGCGGAGAGGAATAATCCGGCGACGAAGGGAATGAAAAATAAGAGAGGAAGGAGCGCGAGCAACACTCGAATATATAGGAATCGGCGGATCCAGCGGTCGGCGGGAAGCATTATTGAAAATTACCGACCTTTCGGGTTTCATAAATCATTTATCAGTCCCCTGTCGCGACGTTCAAGATTTCACCGTCGCAATTTTCCACGGAATATCGATCTTCGAACGGGTAAATCGAGTAAAACGACTAACTTCGGTAAATCTCGCGAATGAACTTTTACTCGATCGTTCCGGTGGACGGAAAGCAAAGCCACCGTCCGAAAAATGAAAGAGGAAGAATGTAACAAGTGTTTTATACTCTTCGAGTATAACGCTCCGTTTTTTCATTTCTCCGAGTGCCTTCTTTTACGGTCGGACTACGTTATTCGCCGAACAAGCGGCATAAATTGCTCAAGTATCCCGATAAAAGTGTTCCCGTCGAAGAAACGGGAACTCCGGGCAGGCTATCGCGAGATAAATCCGTGGACCGTGGCTTCCCGTGGTTTGATACACTGCCGAAAAGGTCCTTCGTCGCGAACTTTGCTCATTTGCCGGCCCGTTACGATCGCGCGCCGGTGTATTACTGTCCGTCTACTACTTAATGGCTGGCGGCACGGCACGACAGCAGTCTCCTCTCTCTCCCTCTCCGCGTTTTCTTTATAGTTTCGGTTGGATGATAGGTCGGTTACGTGTAACCGTATCGTCGAACAGCGAATTAGAATCGAAGATGACGTAGAAACCGAGCAATCGACTTTTTGCGTACCTTTCTATCCGAGCGAGCACATTCCTCGTACCTGCAACGACACCAAAACCGGAAACATTCGATCGGAATTGCCACGGAAAAAACTAGACGAATAATTAGAGCGCAAAGGGGTCAACCAGAATCGAACGAGACAACGTCGACGTAAACTTCAGGGCGAATAACCGTAATAACGTCGGAAACAGTTTGGAAGAAATCTGCAGAGCTGGGCGGTTCTTTTCACGCTCGCCGGCGATGGCGGAGCGGCCTCGCGTAGCGCGTGACACGCGTGTGCCAGTCATCGGGCGTTGAAATCACCGGCGGCCTAAAAATGATCCCGTCCGCGTGCGGCCGGGACTGGATTTATCGGCGGTGGAGCGGGCCGCGCCGACTAAATATTGAAATTGCATAAATCGCGGCCCGCCCCGTTTACACGGGCGCGCGTCGCATTACGTTTCGCATCGGCGAATTACTCGTCCGAATCCGGCGCGACGTCGAAACTTTTCGAAATGCCGGGCGCGATTAAATTATTTTCGCAGGAGCGGCATAACGCGTTGAATGACACACTCGCATCCTATTTATCAGCATATTGTTCCGCTCGCCGGGGATCAGCATAAATTTATGAAGTTTATCGTTGCGAGATGCTTCGTTCGAACTTCCGCGTCGGTTTATTTCAGCCGATCGTTCTTACCCCTTCGACAATCTGTGAATTAACGCTCGATCCACCGTACGATTCGTTTTGGCTTCCTTATTTCGCGACTACGATATATCGGCGTATTATGCCACACCAGCTGATTACATATGCCTCCCATTTGTCTCTGCTACGAAAGAACGATACGCGAGACGTTCAAAATTCTCGTGGCAGCGGACGCGTCAATAATTGAATATATATATATTATTAATAGAAGACGCGTACGCGGATGTTGCGCGCGTTTCTCGCATGTAAACGAAAATGAAAAGATTTTAATCCATTCCAGCGCGGATGCTTCGTCTCGTCCCGCTCGTAAAAACACGAATCCATCGCGCCGCTTTCCTTACCGGCA